ATCTCTCCATAACCACCTGTGCCCATCATGGATGGGGATCTCAGCCTGTCCCAATCCTTGGGAGGCCTACGGATTGCAAACCCAGATGATTCGTCGTTACATTCGTCCGAGGATGCGACCACTCCCGCCCCGACTGCTGCTGCTGCTGAGCCACCAGCAGATTCCGAACCAACGCGCGAATCGACTCGGTCCGAACAACTAGACAGTCCTCTGTCGACAACACCACCCCAGCCATCGATACCGCCCTCCACGGATTGTCCCCACGATGCCCCGGCTATAACCGAGCCGTTGGCTAGGCCAGTTGAGAATCGAAGTTCAACCTATCTTCCTCAGACCGATTCACCGCAGCAGCCTGCCCAACCACGCCCGCCTATATCTCCCAACAACAACAACCATACCCTCAACCATCACAACAGAACCGTTCTTTGGGCTCCTCTCGCCCGCTGTCGGGCCTCTACGCGTATGCGAATGGGTCTACGTCGACATTAGCGGCCCGGGAGGGTTCCTATCGGATTCGTACAGACTCCGCTGCATCGTCCGCCTCCGAAAGCCAGGCCCGGGCGGAATCCCGTGGTGGTTCTGCAGCCTACCAGGCAGGGGTTCCGGTACGCGATAATAGTCACAGTGATCGGTCGTATAGAACAGCGCAGCTACCGATGGGCAATGGGCCCATGGTGATGCGACAACCGTCTCGTGCTCACGCGCGTCCGTCAGGGGCTCCACAACTCGCCGGCCCCCCATATGCGGCGGAAAATGGTCAATCCTCGAACGGCGAGGACTGGCATGACCGAGGTGCCGCTGTTGCCGTCAGGCAAGAGATCGATGCCAACGGGAAGCCCGTGGCTCGTTACATCAAAAAGGGAGTTCGCGACTTCTCGTTCGGAAGCACACTGGGGGAAGGCTCATACAGTACTGTTGTACTCGGGACAGATCGTCAAACGCTCAAGGAATACGCCATCAAGATCTTGGACAAACGCCATATCATCAAAGAGAAGAAGGTGAAATATGTGAATATCGAGAAGGATACCCTCAACCGGCTTACCGAACATCCCGGTATCGTCCGACTCTATTATACCTTCCAAGATGAACGCTCGTTATATTTTGTATTGGATCTTTGCAAAGGCGGTGAATTGTTAGGGGTGTTGAAACGCATGACCACCTTTGACGAAGAGTGCACGAGGTTCTACGGGGCTCAGATTTTAGACACTATAGACTACATGCATAAGCGTGGCGTTATCCATCGCGATCTGAAGCCGGAGAATGTTCTCCTTGACAGCCAGATGCACATCAAAATAACAGATTTCGGTACGGCAAAGATTCTCAAGGGCCAGCGCAAACCAGATCCGAGCACGAGTGGGATGCCGCCGTTGGAGTCGACCGACATCCCTGAGGAAGAGCGTGCAAGCTCCTTTGTTGGGACGGCGGAGTATGTCAGCCCCGAGCTATTAACAGATAAGAATGCGTGCAAGGCAAGTGACTTGTGGGCATTTGGCTGCATCATCTATCAACTCTTGGCTGGTCGCCCTCCATTCAAAGCGGCGAACGAATACCTGACGTTCCAAAAAATCGTCGGACTCGAGTATGAATTTCCTCTCGGGTTCCCTGCGGTTGCCCGTGACCTCGTCGAGCGTCTCCTTGTATTGGACCCGACTCGTCGGCTGCCAATTGAACACGTCAAGAACCACGAGTTTTTCCGGGGGATGACCTGGGGCCCAGACTTGTGGAAACAAAAAGCGCCCCGTCTCAAAGCTTATGTTCCTCCGCCCCGCGAGCCGATCAAACTGAACGGAGCTGGTGAAGGGGACGCCTTTTCTGCGGGTATCAATGCAGGACCGTCAAGTACCAACAATGCCAATCCTAGAGTTGTCCCCAGACTTGTCACGGAATTGCCCCCTCCAAGCCAGCTCGACATCGAATGGTCGCCCGTGCTTACTAAAAGCAATGAACGGATATTAAAGTTGGGAAACGTCCTGGTACTGTCTTCGCCAGCTGTGCATAGTCCTTCCACCAAGAGTGGGGGTGGCGAGAGCGAAGCGCCGAAAAAGTTCTCCCGCTTCTTCGGGGGAAGCACAACGAAGAAGCGGCAGAGGCTGGTGATGGTCACCTCCTCTGCACGTATTATTATGGCTGCGGCCGGTGGAGATGAGAAAAAGGCAAAGCTGGAGATTTCCCTGCTCTCTCCAGGAACACACTGGCGCTCCTCAACGGATTCGAAAGGGCTCCCTTGCTGGGTCGTTGACACGGTATGCTTATCCCTGCGTGTGACATAGGCGAACCAATGCTAATCTGCGTGTGTAGCGTGACAAACATTACGTTTTCGAAGACCCTAAACCGTCATCTAGCAACGCTGGCGCGACTGCTGCCAATGCACAGGAATGGGTGGATTCTTTGGATCGTGCGCGAGAGATGGCTTTGACTCAGCAAGCGAATGGGACATACTCGGCCGACGAGGCTTTCCGTGACATATCGTCAGAGCTGTCGAGCCACGCCAACACATTGGACCGCAACTCTGAGGTTCACCACGAGAACCCACCTGGACGAACCACTCTAGTGAAGCATCAGCCTACAGATTCGGATTCCGTCAAAGGAAAGAAAAGGTTCAGTAGACGGCATTCAAAGAATGGCCTGGCAGCTGTTTTCTAGACGACGTGCTCGCCAGAACTTACACCCGGCCTCGGCGACGGCCGCAGGTAAAATCTTTCCAACCAATGTCCGAGCATGACATTTATCTAACATCTCCCGCGTTTGACATCGGGGTTGGTTACTGCGCAGGATCGCAATTTTCAATTTTTCTTTCCCTGGTCCCGGACTATAACACAGTTTCTTTGCTTCTTCCTGATGTCTCCGGGGGTGATGTGACTTGCATACTTTCTATTGTTGACAGGTCTTGGAGTATCTCTGATCTGGACCCTCAACCAACCACTGTTATTTCCTTTGTCGTGCATTTGTAGCAATTTCTTTTGTGATGTGATTTTCCATTTTGCCTTGCATCTTTGCAATGATGAGCGTGTTTCTTTTCTTAAGATCGCTGCATTTAGATGGGCAGGAGTACGCATATATCCCTCATCTGGCATCTACCCTTTTTTTTTTTTCTCGCTTTGTATTGCCTTGCTTCCTCTTCCGTTCACCTTCTCCCTTCTTTTTTTTCTAACATCATTCTCTCCTCTACATATTGAGATATATATCTTCGCTTGGTCGAAACAGATGATCCACAGAGCCTTATCGGATAACGCTTTGCCGGTGTACAGAGTTCAATACAGAAAACAATCAGGATAGCCCCCCTTTCCGGCTCCGACAGATCTTGCTCTACCCACTCCTGCTTCAGGTTCCGTTTGCTATTATACCATTCGGTTTGTTCCACTGAGCGGATTTTTCTTTTTCTTTTCTTGTTTTCTTTCCATAGGAGCTGAATTGATTCCCCTACTATGCGTCTCTCCACCCTGCCAGATTCCCCCCGTCTCCCCCTTCGTTCTGCTCGATTTCACCCATATGCATTTTTTGTTCTTGTTAAATAACTTTCCCCTTCAATGGTACTTCATATAGTCGAATTGAAATCTTCCATTCTAGTTGGAGATCTGGTGGCCTGCTACTTGCTGTGGACTTGCTGCTATATATCTGTGGGATTGCTTGGAAAAATCACTGGTCCAAATTATGATGTGATATTTAAAATTTGTATTTCTTTCAGACCGAGAAAGGGGATATCTAACAAACAATGATATTCAATATATGTACATCCGTAACATCATACTCATGATAAAAGGCATTATATATACTGCATAGATAGAATCATATGAATAGCCAATCGATCCTCGAATCATCCAGTTCCTGAATCCAGTCGAAATCATCTTCATCATCATGAACAAAGGACCCAAAGGGGTTATTATCATGCTGCTGCTGTTGCTGCTGAGCCCGTCTCGAGTCCCGCTTCTGCCACATCAGACTGAGGACCCAGGCTGCGTTGCGGACGTTCACGGATGTGACGTCGTAGTAGATGGCGCTGAGGGTCTGGAGAGGGATTGGGCGCAGGGAAGGATCGGCGCATTCTGCGCCGGCGATGAAGGTCGGCCAGATGAGGCATTTGAAGTGGTCGTCTGCGACGGGGATTAGGGGGATTTGCTGGATGAGGAGGTTGGTGATGGCTTTGTGGTCGGGTGGGAGGCCTGGGATGGTGGATTTTGCGCGGCCGTGGGCGCGAGGGCGCGAGAGGACACGGCTGGTGTAGAGGTAGACGGCGGAGCGCCAGATGGTTGCTAATGCGGTCCGGACGGAGAGGTCTGGGAGGCGGACGAAGCCTTGCATTTCTTCGGCCCAGGCGACTGGGTCGAAGGCTTGGATGTGTTGAAGGAGGGCGGTGGGGGGTTGGAGCAGGGGGTTGGAGCTTCGGGAGGAATGTCGAGGAGTAGGTCATGGCGGGTGGGTTGGTGCTGGGGTCTGGATCGACGCACCAACCTTCGTGGACGAAGAAAATGACTTCGAGGAGGTAGCCGGGGCATCCTATCCAGGCGGTTTCTTCGAGACGTTTCAGGGTTTCTGGGCCCATGTCTGAGGAGTAGAAGGGTTTGGAGAGGGAGCCTGGCCTTGCGAGTGTTGCGCCCATAACTTGCATGCTGGAAAGAGATAGTTAGCGAGGATGACGGAGGTTCTCTATGGGTGTTGGCTTACACGAGACAGCCATCAAGTACAAATGCGTCCAGCCAGTCAATCATGCGTTGTGTCGGACTAGATGGGCTTTTGCTTTGCCGGCTCATCAGAAGTTTCTTGACGCCTTCCAGATGATACTTCCATGCGCCGTCGCCTGATTCGATAGCATCCATCAAAGCAAGAACCATGATCACTGCTAGTGTCTTGGTATCGTTCTGCTTGAGAGGGTCTTGCAAGTCCAGCGATAGTTGACGGAGAGTGCGTTGTTTCAATTTTAAGAATTGTTCATAGAACTTGGAAGCAGGGCGTCGTGCCATGGAACTGATCACCGCCTTTTCAACATCCTGCGGGGATGGAAGAGCCCCAGTGACCGAAGCGCCATCCGACAGCCACGGTGTCGGTGAGAAGTCACAGCTCGCTAGCAATGCATAGTGTAGAGCCCCAGTGGCAGCCAGCGCATGGGCGAGAACGGGGGAGTCACCCACTAAGACCGTTAGATCGCGGTACGGGTTCCTGACGTTGGAATAAAACGCGAGACAGCCCACTACATTCTGGTGGACTTTGAAGAGACAGTTAGCTATATGCACGCGTGCTCTCTCAGGGGATGAGTGATCTAGAACTCACAATGCGAGATGTAGAACCGGGATAACGAATCCATGTCTTTGAATAATGGATCAACCATGCCCCGCGGCGAGGGAACATGGTCCACCACGGAAAGGTTCGCCTCTGGAACAACCAAGTCGAAGTTGTTTCCCCACTGTGCCGCATCAGGGGTATTATCAAAGGCCGATGGCTGGGGCACATCGTACGAACCAGTATCCAAATTGTCCTGACCCTGGGCGTCAACTTCAGGAGGCGGGGGATCGGCGGCAGCAGGAGAACCGTCCTCACTACCGCGATCTGAAGTGTTCTGCACAACATCATCAAAGCTGCGTCCCATCATTTTTCCTCGACTGGCCACACCGCCCTTCACCCAGACCAAGGGTTTCTGATAGCCCAAGCATTCCTTCCCCGCATCTCGACACTTTCGACACGTAGGGAGGCCATTGTCGCAGATGATGCGCCGGCGACGGCAGGTGTAGCAGCCTTTGGTCATGGCTCTTTCGAATCTATCGGGGTACTGAGTCACTATTTCGGGGTTTAAGACACCTAGATCCTAAACAAGCAACTTGAAGCTGTTCGAGTATATCGGAGTATAACGCTCGCCATCCTTAGGAAATGGCTATGAAGAATCGGACATCAGCGGAAGATGGCTGCGCCACTCGGACATCGCTGTAGTAGACAAGGGAAGAGAAAGCGTTGGGATGGAGACAGGAGGAGTTACTGTGCAAAAATGCGCAATATGGTCGGAAACTTCGCGGGCGAGATGATGGATAAGCTGATACTCTGTCAGCCCAGCGCTATCCCGTTTGCGGCATGGTCGCCAAGGGGTCCTTAAATCTAGCCTAAAAAAGGTCCGTCCCTGCCTGATTGGGATGTCCAGGGCATTCTAGATCACATGCCCCTTCTTTACTTCTACGTCACATCAATACGGTATAGTAAATATATATATATATATATCTCTCTCTCTCTCGATAAATATAGAAATAGCTGGAAAGTCTATTTCTATTGAGCAACGCACTGCTTCATGGCAACCAACTTCCACTGTTGGTTTTTCTGTTTATTCAGTGGGAAAACCAGCACAGGAGCGCCATCTTCCTGGCTGATACCTTTGACATCAAGATGGTGAATGTTGCAAGAGTGCCTCTGTCAGTATATTACCCTGAAGTATGATAGTATCTTCTTCAAATAGTCTTCAAATCAGTAGTATTCACATACAAGTACGCTCCATCTTCTGCGTAGACAAACGTCCACCTGACATGCTTATCAGTTGGTGACTTTGAGATTCAGTAGCTGGTTCTCGGTCTTTCTCTGTGAAAAGAGTAAGCTCATGTGGGGTAGGAGGACGGTCTCACCTCATCGTTATAATATCAACAAAAAGGGTGATCGTACCAGGAGCAGTTAAATATATCCCTGCCTTGTCCGCCAGGATGAGGTATTCGTCGCGCCCTGCGGCGGCAACGACCCATTGCTGGTCCTCGCGGTGCTCTCGTGACCCCCTGTTATGAGGCTAACTGGGTTAGTTTTCACTCCGGGCACCATAAGCGTTAGTACCATTGTTGAACTTTAGTATGGTTAGCCTTCTTGGAATCGTCGAGGTCGAGGTACTTTTTGCTGTGCTGGACCTGAAACAAGTATAGACCGGGACCGTTGAAATCATTCGCTGGTGCTGCCATCTTTGGGGTTATATTCAAAGTGAAAAGCGTGAATCTAGTGGAATCTTTGAAGCATGAACAGTTCACAGGAGAGATAAGTCATACTATAAAAGTCATCCTTTCGTCATACTATCAATGCCAATATATTCTTTCGGCCCAAGAGAGTCAGATTCGGTCGATGAGGTCATTTGCGGCGTACTTGGGATATCTCGTTTGGCACGTCTTTCACTAGATGCGACCTGACTCTGCTCTGTACGCCAGCCCAGGGCCTTTGGGGGTTTGGAACTATGTTTAGAGGTGGGATCTGGATCTCATGGCCTGCATGTGTGCTCATCCAGCTCAAGTTGCAGTATCACTGAGTCCACTACTGACTCTGCGAAGAACGGCACGTTAGGGCAAATGTGCTTAAACTCTAGTGCTTTGTATGTCCATCTTTTTCCCAACTGCCAATTGAAGGTCTAGTGGCATGAAGTAAACTATCGGTAATTAACCAGAGTAATCTGATGGTTATAACGAATCTATTTGGCTACTCGGACTTGCTGTGGTAAGACTAGCATACAAATACAAGTTTGAAATGTGCCAGGGAATATTCTCTCAATAGGTTAATTGCGGCAAGAGGTATGAGATGGTCGGGTTGTCAGTACAAGACCCTGTGATACTCTACAGTGCGTAGTACCTTGGGCGCTAGGAACGAAGGTGTTAGGGCTTTGGACAAGCTTGGCGTTTGTAGTTGCAGTACTTTTTGAAGATAACGAATAATCAAAACACACTACGCAGTACAAGAAACCAGGACGATATGCTAGGTATCACTACACTTTCTTTGTCCGCTTGCATCTTGAGCCACGCTCGGTAATGTCTACAGAGAACGTTTGACCAGCCAGGCCTTGTCAATCACAAGATGCAGCGTAGATCTACATGACGTCTCCCTGCCACCCGACATATCCAGCCCCTCATCGAAAAGATGGACGAGGGATATGCGAGAACGGCGAGTCCACTGATGGAAAAGACTGACTCCGCCACCTCCTGTGTCACACTGGAGCTAAGCCGTCAGAGCCGTCCTCCAACCAAGCTGGAAACGGTGGTGGTTGCCCGGGAGAACAATGTACGATGAAGCAAGGTCGTGTCGTCTCAGTAGATCTTTGAGAAGCCGAATATGTGATTGTATTCGCCCCTATGTCAAGTTCGATAACTGAACATTATTCATCCTAAACCGACTCTTTGAACCCGTTTCGCAAGATCAGAAGCAAAAAAGAGACCGTTTCAAATGCCACGTATGGCTCCAACGCAAATATGCATCACATTCTCAGCCTCCCTTCGCCACGGCGCCCTAGGGGACTCCCGGTCGCCGGACGATCAAACCCTCGCCGAGTGCGTTCTTTACGAGCTGGGGTTGGCGTTCATCTATTGTAACCATCAGCCTCCATCTCAAAAGCCATGCCAAAGGTGTTATTTCCATCGCCTTTTCATACCTTGCGCTTGCCACCGGTCATGGTGACGTTGACGAAACGACGGGTGTAGATGATCCTCTTGCGGGCGCGGCCCTTAGGGGTCTTGGGCTTCTCCTGCTTGTCGACCTTGGGAGTGGCGGCCTTGACCTTACCGGCACGAGCGAGGCTGGAAAAAAAAAGGGTCAGAATCTGAAATTTGGGGATATCTTCGATGGAGGGGTCGTGAGGCGAAGGGTTACTTACGATCCGTGGACCTATAACGGTGTAAAGTCAGTAATCAGCATTTCCCCTTGCGAGAAAGACGGCCTGGACGACTTATTCACATACCTTACCCATGTTGACTGTATTTGGCGGATGAACGGGGAAAGGGTTTCGTTAGGTTCTGTCGATGGTGTTGTCGCTGATGATGCCGACGGATTGTGGGCTCGAATTTTTCAGTGTGGTCACGGGTTTGTGCGCTTGTGCGCTTGTTCGCGGTCTGGCTCCACTTATTTTGTCCCGGAACAAAGTATTGCCTCCACTCAGAACGACTGGATGCCTGGATGCCTGGGGCTTCCTGGCTGGGCTTTGACTCAGAGTTCGGTTGGACTAATGTTGCTCCGGTAGTTCCTGCACTTTTCCAATTTCGGGTTTACATCACGTGTCCACGAGTGACTGCCTCAGTTAGGGCATCACTTTGATGCCTGATTATCAGCAATCTCATTTTGTCTAGTGTTATTACATTGTTTTACTTCACTTCTGAACATGATCGACATAGATTTATAACTGGTGCAATAGACTTATGACATGACTCGGCTGATGTTGGATTACCAGGACATGATTTTGACGAACTGGAAGCCATGAAGTGATGGAGATCATGTCTGTCGGTGTGTGGTGCTTTACTATGACGGCTGAAGTGACTCAGCCCAGGAGGCCACAGCTTTCTGCTAAGAGCAACCTGCGCTACTCCGTATGCAGTATGCATCTATCTACAGAGCAGCTATGGAATACGTACCAGGGGTTATCACCTTGGAGTTCGGGGTATGGATGGATATACTATGACAAGGGCCATTGGCATCAAAGCCCGACCGAGAGTCAACCCTGTGGATATGGTCTCCCTAACTACCGCCAGCCGTGTCTGCGAGGCTGGTTGCAGGTCCAGTTATGCATCTCGACTAAAAGAGTCAGAAGAGATAGCGTATGGGATCGAACGGATTCACAATTATTGAGAGCGATGAGAGATGCATCGTAAGAAGTCTCTCACATGGGACCGTAACTACGGAGTAATAACAACAGTAATATGAGACAACACGGCTGATCTGACAAGTGGAAGGAGGGGAACTACTAGTCGATATTACGTACATCGTCCAAAGTATGTGTAGTCGCTTTCGCACCGATTGGGGATCATAGCGTATCTCTCCTTAGTACTCGCATGCTGGTGGGTATAGCGCTTGTGGGGGATGCGTTAACCAAAACAGTCAACCATTGTAGTCTCACCGGTATTAGTTACTATCTTAATACCACATAGTATTCCCGATGTTGCGCGGAATGCCTTGGTAGACAATCGATAGTTTACATTAGAAAATAGGGCCCGGCCCGCAAGTGATCTCCAAGACGGGCTGAGAAGTCCGGGTTACTAGTCAGTAGAAGGTATCTCCTAAGTATCTCCTAAGTATCAACTACCAAACACTTACAGGGATCGGCGTTTCCGAGATTATGGAAGATAGATTGCATGGGTTTGGACTAACCAACCCAATTAGAGTCAAACATTTAATAAGCATGCAGACTCGGAAGTCAGCTCAGCTGGCCGTAATACTACTAAATCTGACGAGGGAAGGGGGTCCGACGACCTATGATCGTCAAGCCGGTCAGCCACCTGGTGGACATCGGTTCGTACTAGCTATCTAGAGGCGTGGTGTTTGCACTGTCGTGCGTCGTGCCAAGCGTAAATAAATGCCTTGCCTCCGTTGCGAACACTTCATACATAACCCTCAGTGGAGATGTTTGCTTTTGCTAATGCCAAGATAGGTCCACCACGATCCAAGGATCCCACACCAATAATTTACATCTGGCGTCATCGTCAGTCGGTCTGGATATCAACTAGTGTATGGAGGAGGTCTTAAATCCCGAGGGTGGAGAGATATACGAAAATCCCATGCGAAGCAAAGGCATGAACGCCAGGGAATAAAGTCTTCCAATGGCAGCCAAAGGCCTGAATTGCACGTTCTAGATCTGTTAGATAGAATCCCGAAAGTATAGTAATCAACGAACTGCCCTGAACTGCTCGGTGGATGCTCGCCAGATCCCCCAAGCGCCACCTTTAGCCAGCCTCTGGTGTGATCATGTTTTAGTTTAGGAGGTTGCTGAAACTTCTGTGCATCAAGATTCATTCACCCCCTCCCCATGTTGGTTTCGGAAGCTGCGATTCACAGTGGGTATTGGGTATGTGACTGATTCATGTCTGTCTATACTCCATACATCATAGCGTATGCAACCCGGAGGCCTGTGAGCAGCTCAACTATGCAGAGATAAGATAAATTGACTGAAAGAATAATCCTGACAACCAGACCACCATTTTGCAGCCATGACCGTATTACTCTAGCCCGTGGAATGTCCGATGGTGGAGTATGTACTCTGTACATCTCTCCTTTCTTAGTTGCTGCTACATGTAAAGCAAACACCAACCGGCAAATCAACCCAGCCATGAAGGAACATACATGCAGGTAAACTCCACATCCCCGATCTCAGCTCTCCACAGCCCCATTGATTTCTTTCCCGTTCAGGCATTTACTCCATTTAGTCCATTCACACCATTGATTCCCTTCACTGATCCAGTCTCGTGTACTTTGCCCTCATCATTATCAAGGGTTTCAGCTACGGGACCCTCGGGAGGTGGTTTGGGGCGCGCCAGACTTTTCCTGGCCCTCTTCAAAGTCGATACAACACTGGCGGGGTTGGGCAGGTTGGGATTGTCGCCACCCTTCTTGGGGATGGACTCCTTGTCTAGAATCCCAGCTTTGACCATCTCGTTCACACTCGAATGAATCTTGGCTTCCTTTGGGATATCCCGCGGGGCTCCCAAGTTGGGTGGGAACCTTCGAGGAACCCATTCTTCTTTCTCCAGCTCTAATCGCGTGAAGATGGGGAGTATCTCTGCCAGACGCCCATTCAGTATAGTCACAGCGCAAAAGAGAAGAAAGACGGAAGCATACCTAGGATCCACCAAAAGAGAACCATCAGGAATGCAGATGCATGTCCAAACCAGAGACAATCATGGGGCTGATTGGTGCGATGTCTCACTTCCCATGCATTGGTCCCCGGCTCCTCCTTCCCAGGAAAGACACTTTCAGCTCTCAGAACATCTTCGACATTAGTCGTTTGAAATTCCAGCTTACTTTCCGAGCCCTCCAGGTGCAGGACTTCCTGGACCATCCAATTCAATGGCGTATCGGAAAGCAAATGTTTCTGGCCTTTCTGAAGATTGTAGCCACCGCCCACGTCGCTGTGGTTTCCTGCAAACCACACTTCCTTGAAGTCGGAGTCAAGACCATTCTTATCCATCATGTAGAGGGCGGGCTTAAACTTCAGCCGTCTCTCATGGATAGACACCGCATGTCGAATGTATCTTGCGGCTGGCGTCGCAATGTATCGGTACGACGTGCGAAAAAGGGGGATTTCAAACTGACCTACACTATTGACACAGTCGAACAAACCAAGGAAGTGTATGCCCACGCCCAGTCGGCAAAAAGTGGTCTTGAACTTCTTCATGAACTCGTTCAGCTCCCGATCCTTTTCGGTCTGAGGGTCATTCCCGCGGGATTGTTCATAGTTGCTGAACGTCTCCCAGGCGAAGTGAACCATTTCCTCATTTCCCCTGGATAGGAGACCCAATTCATGGACCATCTCCGCGAGGAACCGTGCAGTGTAAGCGCCGCGGGAGAATCCAAAGATATAGATATGATCACCTTCAGAATAGTAGCGCATGAGAAAACGATAGCCGGCAAGGACATGATCGCTAAACGAGGAGCCAACTGCTTGATCAACAGCACTGATGATTTTGGATTTGATCTTGGGCCAGAATCGAACCAGTCCAGAACTGGACGACTGCCCTTTGACGTAGGTCCCGATGCCCGCTGGCAATAGGGTTAGTATCCATTGTCGGGCAACAACTATGTATGACTCTGCAACATACGTTGATAATAGTGAAATTGACCTGGCGCGTGCCGATCCAGCATTTGATAAATCTTCATGATATTTGTGTCTGATTCATTTCCTTGGAACTGATTGCCTGTGCCGTCGAAGCACAAGACAATCCGACGTGGGTTGTCCGCAGAGGCATCGGTTTCACTTGTTGCGTGTGGCATCATGAAGTGCAAGTTCAGGAATACAGAGTACTAAGGGTAAGAAGGTAGTATCCGGACCGAGGCGTTGTGTTGGGTGACCGGAAATCCGGCAGTCCTAGCTTATGAATCTCTCCAGGGTTCAGGCGATGTTCCAGCTGGGGCACGAGTCGAGGACAAACACATGTGTTATTCAGCTTCATATTGCTGTTATCCCTATTTATCCTTCTTTGTATGGAGACTATACGCGCCCCAAGCATCGGACTTCGCCGCGCTGATCGGTATACGCATCTCTGGGTCCCAGTGGCTGCGAACCAAGCGCCGATTCTACAGACACATTTCATATTTGACCGCATCGCTATTGCAGATAGTTCCATATAGTGTAACGTAATGCACATCTGTGCAAGGGGTTGCATTGGTGAGACATGGTCTAGCCGTAGTTCAGATGTTCAGCTCAGATTTCCCTGTTCAAGCAGGCTGATAAGCCCACCAACACAAGCTAATCTATGGGAATTGGAAGGCACTTGTGGCTGGCTGGATAGTCGATGTGGGTTTTGAAATGTGTATGTGGAAATGTGGCTAGCTCCAAGCAACAATTCCGCGGGCCTTCGTGCAGCAGACTTACCAGGGTATCGGATGCAAGCGCCAGGCAGAAAGAAGCAATGAATAACTCCAAATAATGAAAGATCCCATGTGACGTGTGCTTCCGGGTTTCTCAGCTCCCCCTCTTTGGGTATCCACTGGCATCAAAGTACGTCCATGAGCTGACGAGCAAGGAGAGAATTGACTTGGCGGTCTGCTTCAGAGCATGAGTGCAAATGACACTGTGGCAAAGTGACCCAGCTTCCTCATGTCGACCTATACAGGATTGTCATATCTGGTAATCCGATTTCATGACTGGGATAGACCCTTGTCGAGGATATCCAGACAAAAAGTGGATCTATCAAGGAGATTTTACGGTATATAACCAGGGAGAATCGACGACCTTCTCCCATTTTCATCGTTCTCAGAAACTCAAGATCAATCATCATTGCAGAGACTCTTTTACGCTTCTTGGCCAACAAACTGTGTAACGTAGCGGTGGTGGCATCTCCCTGAAGGTAGCAGTACTATCATGGGCTGGTTGAGCACTACGACTAAGTCGTCCTGGAATCCCTTCAGTACGGGTTCCTCGGGCTCATCTCTAGGTACGTCTGCTCAACGCTGTATATACAATTGAAAACCATTGATGATATTGCTGATACTGGAGAAGTCAAGAATATTTTGCCTGGGTCTTCAGACAGCGGTGGCTCGTTGGCATCGCTGGCCTTCGGAGCTAAAGACCAAAAATGGTTCCAAAGCGTCTTGGGCAAATTCGGGTTCAGTGGTGTTCTCGCCACTATACTTAGCTTCTTTCTCTACGCTATCTACCTCAAGGTCGTTAAGCATGATGGAAAGGGCCTGCAAGCCTTGATCAAGGAAAAGGCATTCCAGTACCTCGGCAAGATCCCAGGCCTCAACAAGCTCAGTTTCCTGAAAGGACATCTACCTTTGGGTAAACTCTCAAAGTCACTGATTCCAAAGGCGACGAAAGGTGCGCTCGGAAGCATTGCTGGAAGTAGTGGTGGTATACTGTCAAAGCTCAATCCCTTCAACTGGAGGATCTTCAACAAGCGGAAGATCGCTGAAGAAGAGGATGATATGAAGTACCAAGCAGGTGAGCCCTATGGAGATCCGGAGGTCCTGGCTCCCACCTTGCGCGACGACCTCAAAGCAGTCGGACTCAAGGCTGGTGTCCAAGATCTCAAAGTGCTTTTGGATGTTGTCAAGAACAAGGGCAAACCCATTGATGATCGGGAGTTGACTGTAAGTCACGAGAATCTCGGAATATAGCGCTCACTAACATGAAATTAGATGGAAAAACTCATTGCCATTGTCTCTTCTTTGCCTCGAAACTCTAAGGCGAGGGAGAAGTTGACCGGCGTTCTTATTGATACACTCTGGGAAAGTCTACCACATCCACCCATGACCTATCTTGGCAACAAATATCAATATCGGACACCTGATGGAAGCTACAACGTGAGTTGCAATATGCACTTCGTTGTTGAGTTGGCTAACAGATGCACTAGAACCCACTTCAACCAAACCTGGGCAAGGCTGGCAGCCCTTATGCGAGGAACGTCCCCAAAATGAAGCACATGCATGGTGTCCCTCCCGATCCAGGTCTTCTTTTCGACTGTAGGTATTAAGCTGTATTGACCCCATTGAAGAAACTACTAACCCACCTAGTGCTCATGGCTCGAAGCGATGAAACTTTCAAGGAAAATCCAGCTGGTCTCTCATCTGTGCTTTTCTATCACGCAACCATTATCATTCATGGTACGATAGGCCCTCATAAAAACTTGAATAGTCTGCTTACATGAATCAGATATCTTCCGGAGCAACCGATTTGACCCTAGCATCAGTGACACGTCTTCTTACCTTGACCTAGCCCCGCTGTATGGATCCAGCCTGGAGGATCAGATGAAGGTTCGAACCAAGGTCCGTGGTTTACTCAAGCCGGACACCTTCAGCGAGAAGAGACTCATCGGAATGCCCCCCGGTGTTAACGCTATTCTCGTCATGTATAACCGTTTCCACAACTACGTGGCCGACAACCTCCTCAAGATCAACGAAGGAGGACGGTTCTCGCTGCCCCCGACCAAATCAGAGGAGGACAAGAAGGCTGCACTGGCCAAACAGGATGAAGACCTGTTCCAGACTGCTCGACTGTGAGGGCCTAAATCTGATTTTTACTCAATTTATACGCTAATTACCCACATTATCTAGGGTCACCAATGGTCTCTACGTTAACATCTCGTTGCACGACTATATTCGAGGTCTGGCTAACGTTCATCACTCCTCGAGTGACTGGACCCTCGACCCTCGAGTCAAAATCAACAAGATCTTTGATTCTGAAGGTGTTCCCCGAGGGATTGGTAACCAGGTGTCCGTCGAATTCAATCTCTTATACCGCTTCCACTCTATCATCTCCCGCCGCGATGAGAAATGGATGAACGAGTTCTTCGCCGATATCTTCGGCCAAGACAAGAAGGTTGAACAGCTCACTCCCCAGGAGTTCATCCAAGGTCTTTATCGCTTCGAACAGAGCATTCCCGAGGATCCCAGTGCGCGCGAATTCGGTGGCCTCAAGCGTGGCGAAGATGGCAAATTCAGTGATGCCGATTTGGTACAGCTAATGAAGGACAGCATGGAAGACCCTGCAGGCTGCTTCGGTGCCAGAATGGTTCCCAAGGCGCTCCGTGTCATTGAGATTCTGGGTATCATTCAGGCAAGAAAGTGGCAGCTAGCCTCTTTGAATGAGACGCGAGACTTCTTCAAACTCAAGCGCCACGAGACTTTCGAGGATGTTAATTCGAATCATGAAATCGCGGATCTTCTGCGCAAGCTTTATGATGACCCTGATATGGTTGAAATGTACCCTGGGCTGTTCCTCGAGGATATCAAGCCACGCATGGATCCTGGTATGCCTTCCTCTCCCACTTTCTGAGAAACTTTTGCTTACGAGGCTAGGTCATGGTGGATGCACTCCTTACACCGTTGGAAGAGCAGTGTTCAGTGACGCCGTTACGCTTGTTCGATCGGACCGGTTCCTTACTATTGATTACACGGCTTCGAACCTCACCTGCTGGGGGTATAATGAAGTTCAACAGGACTACGACATGTAAGATCAATTAACCCCATCTTTTATCAATACTAGCTAACAGGAGGTTTGTCTAGCCTGGGTGGCTCGATGTTCCACAAGCTGTTCCAGCGCGCTTTGCCCAACTGGTTCCCATATAACTCATTGCACATCACTCAGCCTATGTACACCAGGAAGATGAACGAGCAGATCGCCCGGGAAATCGGCACTATCGACGAGTACACCCTTGATGACCCTTCGCCGCCTCCCAAGACCGTCATCGTGACCAAGCACTCCACCATCACCAAGCTCTCGAAGGACCAAGCAAACTTCCGTGTTATCTGGGCTAAGTATTTGAATGAGATGATCCCGGGTAGGGACTTCAGTGGCTACATGTTGCTAGGCGACAAGCCGGCCAACACTTCTCAGAAAACTCTCGTCAAGGAAATCCTCTACAGTCCTGCCGAGTTCGTGCAATTGTTGTCAGAGACAGCGGTGTCCGTGGCCAAAGAACAACTTGCCGCTGAGACATTGAACCTGACGTCGGAGCTGCACCAGGTTGACATCGTCCGAGAGTAAGTGATTGTTTCTGTTGAAATCACAATTATCCTGCCCGAAGAGAAGGCGAAACTGAATTTGCACTAACATCTCTCTAGTGTCGCCATCCCCATGTTGACTAGGATTCTGGCCGATCTTTTCTGTCTGGACCTCAAGACCGCTGAGAACCCTAATGGAACTTACAATATCGCACAGTTATACAAGTATATTATCGACGTGCGCATCTTCGGTTTCAATAATGATGACCCTGGATTGGCATTGCAACGCAGGAAATGGGCTCGTGAGGGTGCAGAATCTCTTACCAAGACCACATTGAAGGTCGTGTCCAACCTGCCCGCTTCGGAGAAGTCTGGAAAGGGGATTATTAGCGGGGCGGTTTCTACAGCCAAGGGCATCGCGTCGAAGATCCCTATTTTTGGCAAGCTCGTTGGAGACGGCAAAGGCGTTGAAGGACAGTCGACAAGTGGCTCGTTGCGCTGGTACGGATATAACGTGGCCAAGGAGCTTATCGCCTCGGGAAAGACTCCCGCAGAGGTTGCAGATATCAGCTGGATGAACGCTGTTGGTGGTGTCGGTGCGACTATCGGAGTGGTTTGTACACCCGGTCTACGGAAAGTAGTATCTACTCGAGTCATAACTGACATGAGATCTAGTTCACCGATGTCCTCAACTATTTCCTTCAGGATGAGAACTCCCGGCACTGGGAAGAGATCCAGAAGCTTGCTGCTAGCTCGGACTTGGAATCCTCGAACAAGTCTCTCCGGCAGTACGTCCTCGAAGCTCAACGCTTGACTAGCACCCAACGAAGCCTCCGTCTCTGCGCGGGCAAGGCCGTGATTGATGGACAGAGCTTCGAGCCTGGCAACTTGGTGGTCTGTCTATTGGTATGTTATATCGTGGAAGTTTCATGGAACGAAAGCTAACTCTATACACTAGGGCGCGGCATGCAAGGACCCCAGTGCTGTCCCAGATCCAGAAGCATTCAAGCTTGACCGGCCATCGAGCGCGTATATCCACTTCAACGTTGGGCCACACGAGTGCCTCGGACGCGAAATTGCATTATCCTGCATCACTTCCCTTGTCCGTGTCTGTGCCAGCCTGAAAAACCTCCGAGCAGCACCCGGTCAAATGGGCGTCCTGAAGAGCATCACCACCGGCACTGAAAAGCACTTCCTCAACGACAGCTGGTCCACCCTCACCCTCGACCCAACCAGTAAGTCCCCTTGCTCTATCACTTACACTGTAAACTAAACTAACCATACCTCAGCCTGGAAAATCCACTTTGAAGGCCACGGCCAGGGCATCCACCACCCTCCCAAGATCCCGGTCACCGCAGGCCGAGACCTCAACGCCCTGTCCAACGCTCTGAAGAAGCAGCACCAGGACAAGTTACAAGAAACTGTCTCCAAGGTAGCCAACGGCATCGCCGCCCCAGTGACCAAACTCATCCCATCCAACGGTCCCAGCAATGGCGTCTCCGGCCACCTGTCACTACCCATCCACCCAACCCAAAACGGCAACAGCAACAGCAACGGCGTCGCCAACGGCAACACCCATCCGAACCTCCTGCACCAAGTCGTGTCCTCAGCCGCCGCCATTCCGCAGCACGCCCTGGGCACAGTCCACGACGTCGCCCACAACACCGTCAGCCATTTGCCTGGCGGCCAGCAGGTTACAGACTTCACCCACGGGCTGGTCCATCCCTTCGCTGGAGCGGTGTCTCCCGGCCAAGCTCAGCCTCAATCTCCACCTCAGGGCCAGACTCAGACTCAGACTCAGACTCAGCCCCAGGGCAACTGGTTTTTTCTCCCCCACGGCGTGGAAAACGCTGCCAAGCAGGTTCCGGGACATCTTTTTGGCCAGACGGCATAGGCTGGTTTGGATGTACTTGGTTGGCCTTGAGATGTATGAGAAGTGGAGGGGGTCGTGGTGGTCGTGGAATCGTCAATATTGATTGATTGATTGATTGATGCATTGTGTGTTTTTGGGGTTACCTAGTAGTAGTCGCAGTAGTAGCAAAATTTATGTTCTTGTTGTTTTGCTTTCAACTTTCTGCTCTGTGATGGTAGTGTCATGTAGTTAATCTGGGGTTGGAGGTATGTGGGCTCGATGGACGGGGACTATAGATATTGTAAGAGATTGTAGGGAGCTTTTTTTGAAGAGATAATAAACCCCTATAGATGGGTAGTAAGCGACGACTTAATACAGACACTGTAGGCAAGTTGGGTTAATCTACACAACAGGCATATGAATTAATCTAAAGAATGCGACTCGGGGATTGGGAATTCATTCTATAAGAACCAAGATCCTATATCTCCTCCCTTTTCCGTTTGATAGCCCATCGTTACATAGGGTATGGAGAAGTCTTGTGTATCCATGCTTAGTTCACAGACAATCTCAATATCATCTAAGCATTTAGTATGAAGATATCCACGGCAGAGAAGACTCGAATCAATCAATCAATCAAGATTCCATCTCCTGTTAGAGCCTAACTGTTGAACATCTAGCTCTTCACTACCCATACCCCAAATAACCATACATATCACCTCAGTCCACACAACACACCAACCAGCCATCACAAAATAGCACCCTAAACTAACTAACCCTCAAGCCCAGCCCCAGAATCCCCGTCCCCAAATCCAAGCTCACCACCCCAAACATACTTACGCACATAGATACTCCTAAGCACCCTGCAGAACCAGAACCAATCATATCTGTCCTTCACTCACTACATCTCATCCATCCATGGACCCACCCATTTGCCCTCTTACTGAACTGGGTTATTGCAGGGCAGTATCTCTATTTGCTTTTTGTAGGACAGGGATACCGCTTATGTGTATTGTCTACTATGCACTATGTACTATGTAGGTATGTGGATATGTCGGGGTTACTCGGTCCATGGCCCTGGCTATGTATGCAGCAAGTATAGCGTGGGAGTGGGGAGGGGGTAGTACATGTACCTGTACATGTACAGAAGGGTCTATTGATGTAGGTTTTGTGAGTAGATGGGATTGGATTGGATGCTCGAGGTATGTGCGTGTGTGGGGGGTTATGTTTGGCTGTATCTTGCTGTTACTATATTCTGCTGTTGGGTTGAGCTGTGTGTTGTCGAGCGTGACGTGTTGCGGACTTCTCTAGCTCTCATAGTACATACTTGCAGAGGATCTACTGAGGGATATACCTAGATTGCGGAAAGAGGGGAGTGGGATCAAGGAAAAGAAGGAGAAAAAAAGAAAGCATACAGCACGGCATGTGAGTTTGGATATGGGATGAGCTGAGGAGACTTTTTTGTTGATTCCTTTAATCCCCTGGTGAAGGTCTGATCTTGTTGTTATTGTTGTAATTGTTGTCGTTTGTCGGAAATATATAGTTATGCAATGAGATTTGTGTTGGTCAAGGAAAGGCCTCCATGTAGAGATTCGCTATCCATATCCCAAGAATGTGAAGCATGATAGAGGATTGTCGGCCCTAATATGAATGATATACTATAGCACATGAAACACGCAGGAATCGTTATTCCATTTTATTAGACAAATCGAAAGTCAAGCTTCTCCACGGAGAAGTAAGCCACCCAGTCCCATAGTATAACCCTCATGAAGAAACGCCAAAAACACCAGAGACAAGTCCTCATGCCTGTATGCTCATGTTTCCATGGCATCGCCCGTGTCCGACTCGTCATCTACAACTCCCAGGAGCTTGGCATATGGTACCGTTACCCGCTGGAGATCCCGGTGTTTGCCTAGTCAATGTTCACGTCAGTATGAGTCCATCAATATACCTCGAGGCGAAAAGCTTACCCAGTGCCAGAATGACCTCCTTCAATAAAACCTCTCGCGGCCAGCCACAGAGGGTCTCTGAACTTTCTCGCCAGTTGCGGTCTTCTTGTTCGTTTTCCTGTAGGCGCTGGGCCGTGCGGGTCTCGTCTTCTTCAAATAACCCACCAATTAAGCCCTTCAGCAATTCCTCGACCTTCATCTTGAGACCCTCTGCGCCAATCCGCTTGGCGTACATCGAGAGGTACAGCCGGAACTCCTCCTTGGCCCCGAGGGACAATGCTGCGGCAAGTCGGTTCTCCAGATGGGCAATGGATACGCTCGATTCAAAACTCTCATAACCTTCACGGGAGAGAAGAACCTTGATCAACCGCTGGAGGAAGTATGCCCGTCCGCGGAGTAGCGTCTCGCTAGTTGTGTTGCGTTCCAAGAATGGGATGATTCCCGCTGACACAGCAGCCTTTGCGTCCTTGTCTTTTTGCGCATCTGCGGTCTGGAGGTTGCCCACCGGCGCTTCGGTAGTGTTCCAGTACTGACTGCCGACAGCCCACCAGGCTCGGAAATCCGCTGCCAAGTGAACATGGAAGGCGAATAAGAGTAACCCTCTCCATTTGACATGGCGACCACTATTCGGCCTTCAGAATTGATCCGTGCATTCGTGATTGCCGGCGCGGCTGAGGGATGTGCGCCCAGCGTGTGGATTGCCGCATCCAATGCCGGCTGGAGGGAAATAGGCGGATGAGGCGAGGAGAGGTGCTTGACATTCCAAACATAGCACATCCCAACGGCTGATATGCAGAGGATCCATGGCCCATTGCATTCCAAGATTACCGGCTGTGCCTCGAGCACGAGCGCACTGACAAGACGACGACCGGCTGGGGTCCAGATGTAGACTGATCCGTCTTCGCAGGCCGCGGCCCACATGCTCTGGTTGCCGGTCACGAGGAGGACTGTCCGTGGAAGGTAATCCTGCCACAGGGGCTGCTCACCTCGGAAAAGTGTGAGCCGCACCGGCTCCCGATCTGCTGCGCGGCCGGTCAAGCTAGCGGGTGACGGGTTGCGAACTTCAAAGACAACGTCAACGCGGGACTTGTTAGACTCTCCCGACGCACTTGGTGGTTCAGTCGGCTTCCCATTCGGATCAATGGCTCGAAGTATCTGGTTTCGGATTTTGGTACGGCTAGTCGTACCTGGCTCATGGCCATACAAGGATTCGTCACCGCAGGTCGAATAAACTCTGGCGTCGGTTGTTGGCCGGTGGCAGCGGGCTGTGGTCGTGCAGGGAGAAGGCCTTCTGGGGTGTTCGTAAGAAGAGGAGTAGCACCATTCTGACTTGCCAAGGCGACGCGCTTTTCTACATGCCCATCATCGTCCTCCTCCAGCTGCGCGAGCTTGCGCTTATTCCCAAAGAGCAGGGTGGCAAGCCCCCCCTTAGGTAAACCATCGAAGGGCTTAGAGAGATCGACAATAGACTGAGGGGTATCGGCCTTCACTTGGCTGCTAACCGAGGCCATCAAACGGGCTTGAGGCAGGGAGGACTCAGCTGCACCTGCACCGGACACCAAAAGAGGAGCAATCCGCTTCTTGCCGTCCTTGGTGTATGTAGGACGTTGCTTCAGTCTTTCAAGCTTGGCTTGATACGGATCCGGCTTCTCCGGCTCTGGGGCCGATGGCGTTGCGGTCCCGTTTGGCTGGTTCTTCTGTGTGTCTGGGGTCGGAGATGATGGTCGTGCAGGGGTTGGGGCATTAGACGGTAGAGGTGCGGGCTTTCCGTTGGTTATGTTATCGGCCTGGTCATCGCCCATCAAGGCCCCCATTCGCCCTTCAACATCCTTGATCTCGCCAGCCTTGCTCTTCTCCTCAAGTAGCAAACCATCCGGAGTCTCTGTGATACCGGCGCCCCTTCTGTTGGTACCAAATTTGGTAAGCGACTTCTCGTTCTCCTCCATAGCAGTTGCGTATCCCAAATCACCGTCCTCGAACCGGACTGCAAGTATTGTACCATCCAATGCCGTTGCGTAAAGACATTTTCCGTCGGGGCTCCAAGCCAGATCAGACAAAGACTTGGCGGCAAGCTCCTGAGCAACCACGATCGGCCTGGGGTTACTGGTGATCCAGATGCTTAAGGATTTATCTCCTCCAGCACAAGCAATGACGGTCACTAGGTTTTGTGCACCCTGCTGGTTATCCATCGCTTGTTTGTCGACCGGCTGGCTGGCGTACAGTCGCGGGGAAAAGGCACACACTTCCACAGGAGCTTCGTGTCCGATCAGGTTTATGTCCCCATCCCAGGACCCACGGTTGATTATCGCGACGGAACTGACCGGTCCGTTGACGGCGTTTGCAGCGGCGATGTGCATCCCATCTGGCGACCATGAACATCGACGGAAATAAGCAGTTAGAGGGGAGTTGGCAAACGGCGCAGAGATGGTCTGTTCAAGGATGAAATTGTTCATCTGGTCATGAGCGGTCGAGTTCGGAGCAGGGGAGGTAAAACGGAAAATTCGGACGGTACGATCATCGCTTGCCGTAGCAAAGTATTTATTAGCTGGGTCGAAAGTGATCCCTTTGACATGACTCTGGTGTATAGAAATCGTCTTCAGCTTCTCAAACGTATGCCCTGACCACACTACCACTTTAGAATCCAAGCCGACGGACACCAGGATAGAAGAGTCGTAGGACCAGCCCAAGTCCTGAACGTCATTGTCGTGGCCTATCAGTCTCCGGACCGTGCGCCAGTTTTCCACAGGAGGTGCCTCATTCGACCCTATGTGCAACGTATCAGCCGCCGCTTCTAACCCGAACGAGCCCCGGGACTCGAAATTAGCACCCACCAAATGTTGTAGCATGCGACGGAGGATTCGCATCCAGCGTGTAAATACAAACAATCTTATCATCTGCCCCTGATGCGAGGTACTTCCCGTTGGGCGAAAACCGAACCGTATGAATCGTTCCGGAGTGGTTGCTCATCGACGCCAGCTGCCTTGGCTTGCTAGCAACGGCAGGATCATTGGTATTGCAGATAGCTTCCGTCGACCATATCCGAACGTATCCATCTATTTGATTCGAAAAAAAGGTCAATACCAGTCCAATCCATCGGTCTGCGGCGGTGGGGTATCGTCGGGCACGGAGAACCAACCTCCAGCAGCTGTAACTAAACGACTTCCATCGGGCGACACATCGCAGCTGTAAACCTCGAAATCCTTCCTCTCACCTGCAGGAGAACGGGGAAACGCTGTCAGTTACTTCAACTCGAGCATGTATAGTTTGTCTACCATCGGTCTCCAAAGAGAACATGGTAGTGAAGAAAATATTGAAACAACGTAGACAGAATGGTAAATACCTCCGTGCGTCAGCCAGACCGGTTTTATGATATGCATCGCAATAGCTGTGTTGCGTTCTTTTTATCCTGTACGAATCCCTTGTGCGCAGGATCATAGGAAGGTTGACGTGGATGAAGGGTAGCTTATTTGGGGCATCGCAAAGCAACCGCGTCCACAATCATCGGACCCGAGGTGTCCTTTCCAAGCGAGAAGGGCGGGATCCGATAAATTTAATATAAAAGATTGTCTCTCCGGCTCAGGAGATACAGTCCAGTAACGCGAACAATGGAGTGCGCGCCGATCTTCAGAAAAGTCGCGATCTCCCGAAGCAGTAAAGCGGCAGGTCGGGTGATCCGTGCTTTGCTTTCTCCGCCTGGGGATCCTCAGGCACTGCCATTTACTGGTGCCTGATCAGATACCTTACTGAACTTCATGGACAACACGAATCGATTTCTCAACCCACTCGTCTACTATACATGATTACTTCGTTTGAACAGAGGCCTCACTCTCCTCAAATAACTAGGCAATACGCTAAACGGGCAATGACCACAAGCTTTTTTTCCCAAGGCGCTTGTCTCAAGCACATCCTAAAGAAATGCCGGGCAATGAAAAACAAATGACTGAGGGGCGATAATAAAGGTACAGTATGGCAGGGATAGGTATTTCGTACACATCCGAAAGCAATCGTAAAAAGGAACTAGAGGTAGCGGTGGATAAGAAAGAGGTTAAAGACGACGCTGAGCCTGTAGAGGAATAGTACAGTCCATCATTCCATGTTATCTCTTCTGCTGGCTAGCCTCATTGAAGCCACCCAGCACCTCGTCTGCGACATTTTCATGGGCGTTCTCTTCGACTTCCGGTTTTACCTCATGGCCCAGTTCAGACGCTTTGTCTGAGGTGTTGTGGGAAGCCTGGTCCTGAATGGCCTCCACTCCCAGGGTCTTCGCCGCAATGTTGTGCGCTTGGCCCTCGTTGACCTTCTTGTAGATAGCCATGGCACTCGCAACCATTCCACTCATATCCCCGACGTTTCCGGGAACGACAACTGCAGTGCCCTCCTTAGCCAGGTTGGAGAAAGCATCGACATACTTCTCTGCCACACGCAGGCTAAGAGCTCCATTGGCATTCTCCTGATCAGCCGCGATAGACTGAGCGACAGCATCGATACCCTTCGCAGTAGCCTGTGCCTTCAGCAAGATTGCTTCAGCCTCACCAGCGGCACGGTTAATCTGCTCTTGTCGCATAGCCTCCGAAGCCAAGATCACGGATTGCTTCCGACCTTCAGCGATGTTGATCGCACTCTGCCGTTGACCCTCGGAGTCGAGGATCTCCGCCCGCTTCGACCGCTCAGCTGTAACCTGGCGATGCATGGCTGCGACAACGCCCTCCGGTGCATGGATATCTCGAATTTCATAACGAAGACAGACAACTCCCCAGTCTTGTGCCGCCTCGTTGATAGCCTGCGTGATGTTGGTATTTAACGTCGCGCGCTCTTTCAGCACGTGGTCGAGTGTAAGCTGACCGATCTCCGAGCGCATCGTCGTCTGTGCAAGTTGGGAGATGGCATATTCCGCATCCTCCACACCGTAGCTATCATGGTCAAGGTCATATTGTCAGCCTAGCTCCGACTCCATAACCCAACACTGAGAGGCGCAAGGAGAACTCACCTCGCCTTGTACGCGTCGAACACTCTCGTATACAGCACACCATCCAGCTCTAGTGTGACGTTATCCGCGGTAATAGCATTCTGACTCGGGATCTCGATGGCCGATTCCTTCAAGCTCTTGACATAGGCAATCCGGTCAATGAAAGGAATTAGAATCGCAAGACCGGGCTCCAAGATGCGGTGAAACTTTCCCATCCGCTCCACGATCCATGCTGTCTGTTGAGGGACGAATCGGATAACCGTGTTCAATGGGAGCGCCGAGCGATTGGAGAAGTAGGTAGGGGGTCCCCCAGGTTGCGACCCAGCCCCAAAGTTCAGCAGTGATTCGGGCGCGAGACGCCGGGGCGAAGAAGAAACATTTCGTCGCCGAACGCCATTCAAGTTGTTCGTAGCTGTGAGTGCGGAGGTAGGAAGGCGAGGGTTCTGGAGTAAACGGGACGTGACGGCGTTCGGGGAGGACCGAAGCAGTCTCGACGACTGCCTAGATGCCACATCCATTATGATAGGCAAGAATATCCGAATCGGTCCCTACGTGGCAATGCTTGGTGGCAAGACGGTTAGACGCTGGAGACCAGTCTGGGGCCTTCGGATGAAGCTGAAGCTACGGGTCAACTTGCGGGAATTCATGCCTGAGGCAGATGTGCTGCTGAGTCATCCTATACAATCAATCGCTGATCATGGGAACTGTTCACATGTATACGTGCTGTTATAATTGGACAGGAACTCTTTGTGCCTCTCAGACCATATCATATTACATTTTGGTAATACGAATATTCATTGCCATGGAGTGTCTCTCTTGGCTAGTTGCGAATGAAACTGTCAACCGTTCAATATAACTAACAACGGTTGCTATTGCGAACAGTATCATATATATTTCTCAGCCGTTGAGCAACCTCGTATCATGAAGCATCATGTTACTACTATCACGCACAAAACGGGATCTGCAGGGGTCCTACAGGTACATACAAGGATACTAGTCGTAGTACCGTAGGGAAGCGTATGAGTTGTTCAATACAACACCAGGTGATTGGGCAGACAGCGACTCCCTCGAACCTGATAGCCTCGGCTACCACACAACTGGTCAGAGAGCTACAAAGCCTCAACTGGTCGTTTACTGCGGGGTACATACAGCGAAGTGACTGCACCGGGGAATGCCCCGGGAGTAGTACAATGTAGCTGCAGTGCAAGGACATGGGAAAAGATACTGGTTTAGATGTAAAGGAACAGATATTGATATACATTGGAATGATATAGAACTTCGACATCACAACTAATCCCGACTTAAGAAAAAAACCCAGACGAAACAATCTTTCCTTACCCAAACTACACCAAACCGACCAATGCAAGGGAATGAAAATAATATTATGAAATGGATATCACATTACCATCCGAGATACGGTGACCCTTTTCCGTTTGAAATGAAACCCACCGCGCCCAACAATATGAACAGGTAAAAGTTAGAAACTCATGAGAAGAGATGCTGTGAACTGTGCGACAATAACGGTGTCGTGGATCGAATAGTACTCGTTGCAATGTGTGTCTCCTTTGTAACTCCGCAGGGTCCCATAATGAAGCAAAGATTATCTTTTTTTTTTGTCTTTTGCTGTTTTTTTCTTCCATTCATACTAGAATAATCGAGAAACATTATCGCATATTAGAAAGAACCCGGTTGAACAATCTATGGTCGTGGGAAAGAAGTTCAGCCCGGCGCACCACAGAAGCAAGCATCAAATGGAAACCGCAGAAGATACTGCCCAGTAAAACATGCCCGGACTCCAGAATTTTAAAACCTCCCATGACTAAAGCAAAACGGGGAACTAGAAAGGGAAAAGGAAGAAACAATAGCCGAGACGTAATGTGCATATATCAACCCACTTCGCTGGAAGATCGTCATCGGCGATTCGACAAGCGTAGATGCAAAAGCTGACAGATAGTAATGCAGGTCATGAGGAACCACGAGAAAACATAGATGGTGCATAAAGTAAAAGAAACGAACAAAATCACTTTTCCAGCTCGGCTCTTAGGCGAACACCCAGAATACAATCGACCTTTCTGCGATTTCTGGGAACGAGAGATCAATTCTGCCAGGCTGAACACAAGGCCTTTGGGATTCCGCGCACTTCCCGACACTTGGAAATCTCTTTGCCACCTAGATCAACAAGCTCACGGATAATCCCATCAGGCAAGACCCCATTGCTCGACAGAGAAAGAACCCTAAAAAATGAATCAATCTGTTGAAACCGTTGCTGACGTTTCGTGCAATATCATCAAACGCTAGACTCTTAAATTCATTGTACATTTGTGCTTTGAAATTTTGGACCAAGAAATGCGACCAGAATTGGTATCACGGTCACCGTGGCGGGTTACCGTTAAAACTTCATTCGTCAAGACTCGTCCTCGAAAAAAAAAAATTATTGGATTCGTGGGGAAAATCGGAGGATGTAAACTCAAGCTGGGAGTCTCGTTCCTCTCACCCAGTAAGTCGGCCGTTAGACTTCAGTAATATGCTGGGAGACCTTCAACAATGGCTGTAGGAGAACTCATGTCCTGACTGAGAGTGGATTAGCAACAGCGGAAGGCTGGCGTTCAACTCGAGTACAAACCTTGAAGATTCGACCGCCTAGATGCTGGGAGAAGTGGAAAGCTTGGAAGGAAATAAGCTAATTCGTCGGCTGTTCGGATTGTGTTAACAAATGCATGTCCAACGAGAAAGAGGGTGAAAGGTATGGGATTGTAGTCGAATAGAATGGCAGAGATATCCACTACAATCGCCAGACTTTTGACTTGGTTGTGCGGGAAAGGTATCATAGGGAATCCTTACAATTGCAGCTTCATTTTGGACTTCCACGGGCTTGGAAGGCGAGAATTCCGGGGCAGCAGAAGACAACGTCTTCGAGGCTGGAGCTTCACCAGTTCCGTTGACAGTTGGTGCCGATCCGTTAACTGCGCCATCGACATGATTTTGCGCTGCAGCAGTCTCATCCGGCATGCTAGGTCCCTCATGCTGAGCGGCGGGGTCGCGCTGGTCAATAGGCAGGACCCACTGATCCCACTTGTCTCTCGGACGCAACCTATCAATGCCATCTTCATTCTGCAGGTAATCAACATTTCTCAGTTGGCGGGAGACGTGGCGGAGAAGTTCGAAGTCCTCGGTCAGAGTCTTGATGCGCTTGAAGCCAGCAATGAAAGCCAATGGGACGTAGCCCTGAGAGTCCATGTGTCTCCGAAGGAACAAGTCCTTGCACAGGTTATCCACAGAGAAGTAGTACTCAAGTTGCATGGAGATCATGCTCATCAGGGAGAAGGGCTCCATATATTGCTGGTAAGGGACAGCCGTCATGGGGCCAGGGTGTACTGGCTGGTAGCCATACATGGTGTTGATGTCGGTAGGGAAAGGATAGACACCATACATGGAACCGGAGTTTGGCAAGGAGGGCGACCTCAAAGACATCCTGTGGCCTCCAGAGCTATGCTGTTGCGACCGGCGCTCACCGAAGCCAAAGGACTTGGGGTGCATGAAACCATTGTGAGACATATGGTTGTTAGGATAGTGAGAGTTCTGAGAGCCGCCGAAACCGCCACGGCCACGGTGAGAGCCACGACCTCTGTCGGCACGCGACTCGCGGGGAATGTCCTTATCTTTGCGATCATGGAAGCCGCCAAATTCTGCCGACTTGGGGCCGTTTTCGAAGCGACGTTCGTGGGAGGAGCCTGAGCGAGGGTTAGCCTGTGAATCCACAGGCAAGTTGGGGTTCTTGGAGTGGTGATCGCCGCCCTTGTGCGTAGCGTCGTGATTCCTGGAGAATCCCTTGCCTTCACGATGATGGCGGAAGTTATCACCTCCGTGGCCATGCTTACCGGCTGGCGGGATGTTGGCATTGTCACTGCCCTTGGGTCCACGGTTCCGGTCCGTTGCTTGGTTCTTGCGGGTGTCTCCCATTCCAGCATCGGCGCTGTTGGATCGTCTGGACGGGGCTGGAAGGGAGTTCGCGCGAGCCGAGTTGGGCTCGTTTCTTCCCCTCTCACCGGGTGCAGCCTGCTTGGTGGCGGAGCCTTGAGCTACCTGACCAGCAGTAGCCTTATCCGCAGCTGCGGCAGAACCATGGGTTCCGTTGCGGGCGCCGTCCCTTCCAGCACGAGGCGCTCTTCCACCACGGCGGGCAGCAGAAGGAAGAGGAGTGGTGAAAACAGCAGTAGGCACGTAAGGGACTGGGGTCCACTTCTCTTTACCAGAGGGACGGATGACAGGGCTCTTCTCGGACTTCTTTTTCTCCTCACCCTGGGCACTTTGAGGAGTGGGCCACAAAGCGGCATCTCCTACCGGGGGGAGGGATGCATCGTCGCGTCCCTTGGATCTTCTGTCCTTGGCGCCTTCCACATCTCCTCCCTTCTTCTTTGAGCCAGCCTTGGACTGGTCCTGTTGAGCATCACCAGAGACGGAAGAAGCCGCCGAAGCGTTCTTAGAAGTGCCAGTCTTGGCAGCAGGGCCAGCGGGCTTCGAGGCAGTGACCTTAGCCTTGGCTTCCTGAGCCTCTTTCCTCTGTTGCCAGATATTCACTGCGGGAAGAGGAGCAGCCTTGAGCTCTTTGGGAGGCTCGCTCTTCTCCTTCTCTGCCGACGTCTCCTTAGCATTCTCAGCTCCATTGCTTTGCTTGTCAGTTCCCGAGGCCTGGGATTGCTTATCCCACGTGGATTCGGAAGTGCCATTCGGTGTATTTGAGCCCTCATCATCTTTCGGTAATGTCGAGGTGGAAGAAGTGCCCTCGCTGGGGGAGGAGGTGCCGGAAACATCTGCCTTGGAGCTTTCGACAGCTGTGGATTCCAAATCCTTGTCAGAGTTGGCGGCAGCCTTCTCTGTTTCCTGGGACTCTGCCGTCTTCACAGTCTCAGTGTTTTCAGCTTCAGGAGTAGGGCTCGCAGTTTGCTCCTCTGGTTTCGAGGCCTGAGTCGGGTCTGCTGTCATTGCTGACGGTTGTGCGGGGGCAACGCCCTTAGCAGCCTGGGCATAAGAAAACGTAGCAGCCATTGTTTTTGTAATCGAAAAGATCTAATATATGCGTTGGAGAAAGTAACTGAAGGGACTTTAAGTTCTGCCAGAGAACGGGGGCCTTGAATGGCAACTCCGATCAAAGATACCTGGTCAGGCCGACTAAGGCGACACAGATCTGACGCCGATGGTTATGAGAAGAATCAACTTCCGCCTTCTTACTACCCCACCAAACTGCAACTTCCCGTCACTGGAGATCACTCCTACTGGGGATGCAATTCGTGGAACTGTCCGTTTAACCGGTCAGGAAAGAACGAGGATGTTCTTCGTTATCGTCGGCAAAAGCGTCGAGAATGATGCGTTTCACTTGGGTATACAAAAGCCACCTACAAGACGAATCGCATCGGTATGGCTGTGATAAACTTTTTTTTTTTTTTTTGCAGGCCGGTTCGGTTCGTTTTCAAGATCGACTTGAATGACGTCCGAGACAAGTAAACCGAAGTACGAAGGGTATAAACTTCGACAGGAGAACAGTGTCTATAGATGCAGAGTTCGAATGATAAGCACGATATGCCTCCGTGCGTATGTTCACCAAAATGCTGCAACCAACAAGAAACTCACTCAGTTGTGCGGCTCGAAATTCGGTCCGTCGGCAAAATCAAAAGCTCTGCAGATGCGGATTACACCGGCTGAACAGTTGGAAAGCAATGTAATGGAAATGAATCACGTCGGAAGGTGAGAGGACCTCGTTGGCGTTCCCCCTTGGAAAGCGTCGAAAAGCGCGAGTTTGCACGTGGGCGACGACGCTACGGAATAATTTTGGGGAGCTCGACTTTGAGAGTAATCCCTGCGAGGGAAGAGTTGTAAGAACAAATCACGAGAAGAAAGGTTGAGAACTGCAAACGAGAAACGTCGAGGCAGAACTCGTGCGGAGAAAGGCTAAAAAAATTTCAAGGGAGTAACCGGTCAATGTACCCTAGTCAACAAAAATTCCCGCGAAATGCAGGACGTGGGAACAAGAAGATCGGAGAACGAAAAGATGAGCACTAAAAGTGTGAGCACAACCTCACTACAGACAGTACTGCACCACCAACGATATTACGGTCGATGACGAAGATGGAGGGAGAATGAAGGGTAGACAACACCCAGAAGTGCGTTAAGAGGGGAGAAGAGGGGAGGGGAGGAGGGAGGGGTGGAAAGGACGAAAATGGGCAAAAGAGAGAAAGTAAAAGGAAAAGAAAGAAACAGGAGAGGAAGGAGAACAATGTGTGAGAAAGTAGGAAATTAAAAAAAAAAAAATAACAATAATAATTTGGAGGGACGTGGAAGAAAACCCGAAGGAAAATACAAGTTTCAATGTAATATTGTGGACAAGAAAAAAAAAAAAGGTTTCCCAAAGTATTTTCCCGCGTCTAAAGATGGGGTTCGTCACTTGTTAGTGGTAAGTACAGTCGCAAAGAGAGGGACAGTAAAAAAAAAAAAAGGGAAATTGTAA